AATGAGCACTGGCTTTGGAGTCGCCCCCCCTTTGCCATTCCCAGCTGTGTGGTCTGGCCTGAACTCCTCGGTGGGCTCAGCTTCCTTACCTGCAAGATGGGGTTAATGCTAGTACCCACTTCCAAGGTTGAGGTAAAGATTAGTAATAACATACTTTGGGGGCTGGGGCCCAAATACCGTGCTCATAATGTCTTTAAATCATGAAACATATGGACTTGATAAAAAAAAAATAATAATAAAACATACAAAAGAGGACACAGTAAAAAGTGAGTCGCTCCCCTACCCCACAAGTCCGGTCCTCTCTCTGGAGGTAACCACCATCAGCAGCTTCTTGTGTCATCTTTCGGGAATTTTCCACGTACATAAAGCCAGAGAAGCTGTACAGGATAGCAGCAAAGAACGTGGACTGCCTGGGGCAAATCCTGGCCATGTCGCTTACCAGCTGTGTGAAGCTTGGGCAAGTTACTTGTTTTCTCTAAAACTGTTTCCTCATCTGTTAAACTGGGATTAATAAAATTAAAAACCAGTTGCCGTGGAGTCAGTTCTGACTCGTGGTGACCCCATATCTATCAGAGTAAAACTGTGCTCTGTAGAGTTTTCAATGGCTGATTTTTTGGAAGTAGATCACCAAGTCTTTCTTCTGAGGTACCTCTTGATGGATTTGAACCTCCAGTCTTTCGGTTAGCAGCTGAATGTGTTAACTGTTTGCACCCCCAAGGGACTCCTAATAAAATTAGATACCTACTCTGTAGGGTTATTGTTACCTACAGTCGAGTCAGCCCCCAACGCATGGCAGCACCACACACAATGGGATTGAACCATTGTGATCCATAGGGTTTTCTTTGACTAATTTCTGGAAGTAGATTACCAGGCCTTTCTTCATAGTCCGTCTTAGCCTGGATGCTCCACTGAAACCTATTCAGCATCATAGCAACACGCAGGCCTCCAGTGACAGATCGATGGCAGCTACACTTGAGGGGCACTGGCCAGGACTTAAAACCAGGTCTTCCACATGGAAGGCGAGAATTCTGCTGCTGAACCACCATGGCCCTCACTTTGCAGGGTAGCTATGAGAATTAAATGAGTCCATTGAACATTGTCTGGCACATAGTTGTCCAATAAATATACACATACCTTCAGGGGCTCCTTTCTGACACTGAGGTAGCCTTTGCTATTACAAACAATGCTGCAAGATACTTCCTCGTTCACCTGGCATTTGGCACAAGTGCAAGACTCTCTGTGGGGTAAATTCCTGGCAGAGAAATTGCTGGGTCAAACAGTAGTGCCCTTGTAATCTCAATTAATTTTTGGATGAGCAGATCCTCACAGCAGGCAGGGAGAGGCCCACAAGGCAGCAAGGGTGAGGGAGGCGTGAGAGGCAGTGTCCGTTTCTGAGGTCCAGGGAGGCGGTGTCTGCCCCATCAACCTGGACGATGCTGTGATTCTCCAGCTCCATGGCTGGGCAGATGGAGTGTTTAATCTCATCCAGATTGTCCCCATAAGGGTTTTACAAGGGAATTGGTTGATAGGATTAGAGGAGCTAGAGCACCTAATGAGCAGCAGCTGAACAAAACGCTGAAGCAGACACAATTTTCCATTGCCACCATCCGCCATGGAGGCACCAGGCTCTGATAATAAGGACCTCCTGGCTGCCCAGTGCTCCTGGGAATGGCACCCCAGTTGGGTTCTCCTTCCCTGATCTTCCTTTTAGGTCCCAGACATCCCAGAATAGAGAGTTGAGTGCAAGGGGTTAGGAGCACAGGTTTTGGGGTCAGACAGATGTTGCCTCAAATTACTGTGTGATCTTGGGTAAGTTATTTCACCTCCCGGAGCCTTAGAGAATAATGGGACCGATCCTTATGAGGTTGTTATGAGAACTAAATGAAATCAAACAAAGAAAGCTCTTAATGCAGTGCCTGATTGCTAAGCCTTTTCTTCTGTGGTGCTGCTGGGTGGATTCAAACCACCAACCTTTTGAGCACAAACCATGTGTGCCACTCAGGGACCTACTATGTATGCTCCATAGGGTTTTCAATGGCTGATTTTTTTGGAAGTAGATCACCAGGACTTTCTTCTGAGGTGCCTCTGGGTGGACTCAAACCTCCAACCTTTCAGTTAGCAGCTAAGCATGCTAACCGTTTTCACCACCCAGAGACTCACCCGGCACGTAGTGAGAGTCTACTCCATATCCTGCAGTCCCTGGATGGTGCAAATGGTAAAGTGCTGGACTACTAACCAAAAGGTTGGTGGTTCAAATCCACTCAGAAGCACCTCGGAAGTAAGGCCTGGTGATTTGCTTCCGAAAGGTCACAGCCTTGAAAACTCTATGAAGTGTTGTTGTACTCTGTACACACGGGGTCGCCATGAATCAGAATCCACTCAAAAAATGACTCTGGATCCTACCCCAGCAGGCCCTGGGAATAATATACACACGTGCCCCTCCCCTCCCACCTAACAGCCTTTCAGCAGTTGCTGCACCTCACCCCCTGGAGACTTTTCCAGATTTCCCAGTCGGTACTATGGGATGTATGAGTTATGTTCCCAAGTCAGTTTTAAATGTCTTACTGCAGCTCATATTCCATGAAACTGCGTATGGTTTTGTGTCTGATCCTGAAGGGCAAACTAAAGGTTTGATCTGGTCTGAGATCTTCTCTGCTGAGAAGTTCCAAAAAAACAACTGTAGTAATAACAACTGTGCCTACCCTATTGGTCCAGGCGGTACACGAACCGGTTAAAAGGCACAAGGCTCAGCATAGCGGACTTGATTCCGACCCATGGCGACCCTATCAGTGTCAGAGCAGAACTGTGCTCCACAGAGTTTTCGGTGGCTGATTTTTCAGCAGATCGCCAGGCCTTTCTTCTGAGGCACCTCTGGGTGGACTCAAACCTCCAGCCTTTCAGTTAGCAGCTTTGCGTTAACCATTTGTGCCATTCAGTGGTTGCTCACCTGTAAAGCGGGATAATAATGGCTCTGCTGCACGGCGGGGGAGAGAATCGAGATGATGGACCCTAAGCACCCCCGCCTCCGCCCTGCCCGACCGGCATTCCGGGGGTGGACACCGCAGGACACACACCCGTCACAGCAAAGCGGATGTCGAGGCCCGGGAGGAGGCAGCCGCCCGCCCCTCCACGCCTCCGAGGGCGGATTCCCTAGCGGCCTCCCGCGCCGCGCGGCGGGGACCCGGGTGATTGCAAACAGCCGCCGGCCTCATTAGGAGACGTGTAATTAGCGGCTGGCTGAGCCGGAGCCGCGCGGGCTAACTACCGCGGGGAGCAGGCTGAGCTGCCGCCGCCCGCCAGGCCATCGCCCGGGCGCCTGGACCCTCTGGTGCAGGGGAGGGGGCGGGGGGGTGGTGTGACCTGGTCGGAGAAAGAGAGGCCTGGGACCGCCCCAGTGTGATTCCTCCCGGGGCTGTAAGTATGCGGGAGGAGTAAATCGTTCATTCACCATCATGTTTTCTGCGCACTCACGGCGCCAGGCGTTTTGCACACGTTATCTCGTTTAAATCTCATAGCTACCCACGAGGCTGGAATTATTAACCTATTGCACAGGTGAGGAAACTGAGGTCTAGAGATATGAATTAACCTGCCTGACATCACATGGCTAGTAAGTGACGGAGGGGGGATTCGAGCCCACGTGTGTAGTCGCTCCATTTTATCACACTAAACAGACAAGTGAAGCCGCGCACAGGACATTAGCCTGGTAGACAAGAAGGGCTCTGGAGTCGGATGGCTTTGGGATCGAATTCTGATCTTGCTTCTTGCTTAATGTGTGACTTTGGTCTGAGCCCCAGATTCTACACTTACAAAATGGGCTTGGTGTTGGGATTAATCGAAATGATGGCTGTGAAGTGTTGGGGGCATTATTTTTAGGGACTGGGGTTGCACTGAGGACGGGTCGTGCTCTCCCGGTGCACTGTGGGCCTCTGGTGCCCTCTGCTGGGTAGAGGAGGAAGCTGGCGAGTTCTGGATAAAGAACAGTCTTTGGTCCCTCTGCAGGGCCACTGCCATCCCTCCTCCCCTTCCTTCCTCAGCATCCCTCCTTTAAATTAGTGAAAAGTGGGAGATAGGAATATTGAGATCTCATTCCACATCTGGCCAATAATCGGTTTTGAAACCAGCCTTCATGGACTTTTTAGGACAAGCCAAGACCACAAGAATTCTACAAATAATCAGGTACAGGCAGGACCTAGTTACAAGGATGTGCACCAAAGTGCTGGGTATAACAAGAAAATCTGGAAATAATGTAAACGACCACCAAGGGGATATTGACCAACTTAACAGGGGTACATCCAAACAATGTACTGCACAGCTCAAAAGTAATATTGTAGAAGAGCAGTTGACATGAATCTAACAGAGATTAAAAAGATTCTGGACACAAAAATTCAAGAAGAGGCAAAACTAATGTGATAGAAGAAAGAATAGTAGTAACTTCTAGGAAGGGTTTTGACTGGGAAGAGAACTGGGCGAAACTTCTGGGGTGCTGGAACTGTTCTTAATATCTTAAATATCTTAATCTGGGCGGTGATTACACAAGTTCATAGATATGTAAAAATTCATTGTGTTTTACACTTCAGAATACATATGCCTTTATGCATGTTATACATCAATAAGTTTTTTAAAAAGATAGATTCAAGTGGAAAAAAAAATTACTCAACAGTGTGATCCTCTATTCTTAAAAAGAAAACAAAAGGAAAAGCATATATAATTTAGCATAGGGCAGTCGTTCTCAAACTTTTTTTTGTCTCCCCTTTACACTCTGAAATTATTGAGGACCCCAGAGAGCTTTTGTTTTGTGCGCTGTATCTATTGATTTAATTTACCACAGACATGCGTAAGGAGGCGGGACTTGAGAGAAACTGACACAATGCTCGGCCTCTCAACTTTCTAGCTCCGCCCTCCTATCCTGCTTCCCTCTCTGAGTGGCTGCAAGGCTGCCGAGACAAACGTCCCATTGGCCGAGGACTGGAAGGCCGATATCCGGTTTGCGCTACGAGCAGGCGCGCACGGAAGCAGTCATGGTGCGGTTCAAGCATAGGTGAGCAATCCATGCCCGAGCCCCGTGGCCCCGGGCTCTGGCCTTGCACTCACCTCCCTCCCGCCGCAGGTACCTGCTGTGTGAACTGGTGTCCGACGACCCCCGTTGCCGCCTGAGCCTGGAAGACCGAGTGCTGGACGGCCTCGTACGGAATACAATCACCAGGGTGCACGGGACGTTCGGCGCGGCCGCCTGCTCCATCGGCTTCGCAGGTGCGAGGGCGCCAGGGGAGCGGCAGGGTTTGGAGGGGAGCAGGGGCCGGAGAAGGGAGAAAGGAGGGGCACGAAAGATCCCTGGAGCGGCCAAGCCCTCTGCAACCTCTGTACATTGTCGGCTATTCAGGCGTCTGGACTGTCCTGACGGGAGGTCTAGACGAGTTCAGAGCTGGGTGGAAAGCTAAGAGAAGGGGCCCAAAGCTGTGGGAGTTTGGGACAACTATCCTCTCTGTAGCTATTTGACATCTGTAAATTGGGGATACTGACTGAACTTATAGGATGTGAGAATTAAATGAGGGAAGCCCCGTATAGTTCAAGAGCTGTTATTTGACAGACTACATTGACATCACGTGGAAAAAGCATGTGTTGTCAAAATTGCCCCCGAAAAGCCCTTACATACCCGGTAAAGTACAGAACACACGATTGTGTGTTATGTAATGCAGGGTAAGCCGGGACAAAGAGGGGCTTAGATCCCCGGCAAGGGTCCTTTCAACAGCCACACGATTTAAATTCCCTCTTTTGTCACGTGTTTGAAACGGAATACTGGAGAATTAAATGCGCATCACAGGTACACCTCCCGCACATTAGGTGAGACTCCACTGGCTGCTACAAGAACCTGCAGAGCTCAGGAAAGGGTTGCTTTCTCCTGAGTGACACCTCCCTCCCTAATTGATATTACTATGGTCAGTGAATTAAGAGGAGCATTTTAAATTCCTTCACTAATTCTGAGTGGTGTGCAAGATACTGGGTATTATTTCCCTTCCGTTAAGTGAAGGCCTGTCCTAAAGTTTTTTTTCCATCAGTAATCTTTGTTTTTACCCACTAAAGCATCACAAATGCCACTGCCTATAACAGTCTGGCACATAGTAGACTCTCAGTTATCCTAAGGATTTTAACCTGCTCCTGTGAATCCAAAGTCTTCCTTTTTTTTTTTTCCTGTTGTAGTGAGATACCTCAATGCCTATACTGGAATAGTGCTGCTTCGATGCCGGAAGGACTTCTACCAGCTTGTGTGGTCAGCTCTTCCTTTCATCACCTACTTGGAGAACAAAGGACACCGTTACCCTTGTTTTTTCAACACCTTGCATGTGGGAGGTAGGAGTAGAATGTGGTATGGCTCTTGCTTTTCAACAGGTAACAGGTTCGGTTTGTCCTAACTGGTGGGTGGTCTTCCTCCTAGCCCTAAGAAGATACTTGCCCCTAGCTCTGAAGGTCTATGAGATAGGGAATCTTTCAAGAGCTGTTAACCACAAAACCCTTCCATGTGCCAGGTACAATTAGAACATGTCAGAAGTTCCTGATTCAGTACAACAGGAGACAGCTGTTGATCTTATTGCAGAACTGCACTGACAAAGGTAAGCAACGCCGGGTCAGTGCCCACTGAGCAGGACTGACCTCTAGCTGAATGAGGGCACTCCCAAAGACAGCTTTCATCCCTGCTCTGCCTTTCTTTCTGTAGGAGAGAGGGAAGCTATCCAGAAGTCTGTCACTAGAAGCTGTATGCTGGAGGAGGAACCAGGCGAGGAGCTTTCAGATAGTGCCAGTGAGGAGGCTACTGTGGCTATGGAGTGAGCTCTGCCTACCACCCCTTCGCACTAGGGGAAGGGGAAGCTTCAGCAGAGTGCAGCTTCCTAACACTGCAGGAGGCTGCATTGCACCCAGCCTCGGACTGACTTGTTGGAATGAGACATTCTGGGAGGCAGCAGCATCTTCTACAGCCCTCCAAACTGCATGGCTGCCAACCAGAGAACAAGTTACCAATTCAAAATGGAGGACTTAAACTCAAGTCACCTTTGCCCTGGGTTATGCCTTTCCTGGATAAGTGGTTCTGCAGGTTGTGAACCCCCTGTAGTTACAGGAAATCTTTGTATCTAATTGCCTAAAGGAGAGTAGGTTTAATAAATGTGTATGGCTTCTGTAGCATTTTGCATACTTGAATTATAAAAAGGGCTTATGGAGTTAATGTCCGGCCAAGTCTCTTTCCCCCTCCTTCCCTGGCCTTGTTGGAAGACTGGCCCCTATTTGATACTCAGTGAATTCTGAATATTTGACCTTCCACTTCTAGTCCCCAGGGTAGGTTCTAAAGCAAACCAAGTCACTTGGAATAGAGGAATTAGTGCTTTTCTTGGAAAGAAAAAGCAAACCCTGGCCTCAACTGATCTCTTTACTACAAAGCCAAGTAGCAACTGCCAACTTCTGGTAGTTTTCTGCAGTTCTGACCCTTCACTATTGCCTGGCACGTGAAGACAGGTGAGAATGCCACACTCAACATACACAAGTAGGAGGGGCAAGAGATGTGTGATCAGGTTTGGTCTGCTACCTACTAATGACGTTTCTAGGATGTCTTCTTCATTATCGAATGGATGTCACCCAAAGTCTTTATACATTTAACAGAAAAATAGGATTTTTGCTTCAATGTGCTCCCTCATCTCCAGACTGGAACACCCTCATTCACCTAGAAGAATTCCTGACCTAGCATTTCTGAACTTTTAAGAATGGCAGGTTAAAGCCAAGCCCAACTGGAGTCTTTAGGCCTGAACTAGGAGGGACATTATTATTCCACGATAGCAGTATTCATTGCTCAAGCTCACCAGTCCCTATTTAGTAGCATATTTAAGAAGAAAAAACTCTGACTGACCTATAATGGAAAAAAAAAAACAGCTCACATTGCTTGTGCAGGTGATTTATTGCAACTATTTACCTTCATGTTCTACTACATCTAGAGATCACTTTATTAAGCAGCCAGAGAATTCACATTGCTCAAACCAAGGGATAAGAAGAGTGCTGTACACAACAGGGAGGTAGTGGGCAACCCTGCTGTTCTGGAGCCTGCCCACCTCTGCCTCCAGATGCAACAGACTTCTCCTACAATTCGGACCGCTGCCACTTGAAACAAATTTGCTCTACAGATTGATGGGTCCCAGGGCTTCCTTAGTTGGTGACAGTTACAGCTTTCCCTCCTGGACTACCAAACAAGCCACAATCAAAGGCAAACCCTCCCACACACACCCAAGTGCCAAGGACAACCTATTCCTTGAAACTGGCAACTGAGGTCTGGCACCACAGTCTGGCCATTTGTCAGAAGAAAAACTGCAAACTGGGTGTCCTAAATCCATTTTATTCCCATCCCTCTGTTTCTTTAATAGAGAACTGAACAGGTAGAAAAGATTTAACTATTTCTAAAGGACAAACTGATCGATGTGCTGAAACCACGGTGCCCTGACAGAAGATGCCAAGCAGAGCAGCGCTGTACCTCTCTGGGCTGCTCCAAGGGATGCTGCAGGGACACAAACTTATTCTTTAAGAAAAACTAAGTACACGTGGGTCAAAAAGACTAACCTGACAAAAAACTAAAAACCTTGGCAGGAAGAGATCTCTTGTGAGTGTCAATACTTTATTTTGGTGTAAAGACGAGAAGCTGGAAAATACACTGTATTTAAAATTTTCTTGGTTCCCCCTCACGTTGTGGAAACCCCCTCCCCACCCCCCACTCTCCCAGAGCTAATCTGTTCAAAGTCAAATACTTAAAAATTACAGCAGCAAAACAAAAGCAAGGACAAAAGAAAACCAGATGGAGAAGGTAGTCTGGGCCAGTAGTGTCACTTGGTGTGGACAACTGAGGTGCTGAACAGCAGCTTCTGTTTCTGTTTTTTTCTTTTCTTTCCTCCTTTTTCTTCTAAATGGAAACACAGAAAGTTAGCTTAGAATGTCATCCCCTTGTCTCTGGCCAGTGTTCACCACTGAGAGTCAGAGTGGTAGCCAAGAGTACAGACTCCCTGGATTCAGATACCAGTCCTAGCAAACAGTGGTTACACGCTCAGCTGCCAACCAAAAGGTTTGGCGGTTCAAACCCACCCACCACTCCATGGGAGAAAAGATGTAGCAGTCAGCTTCCGTAAAGATTACAGCCTTGGAAACCCTAGGGAGCAGTTCTACCTGTCCTAGAGGGTCACTATGAGTCGGAATCGACTCAATGGCTAGGTAGCATATACTAGGTGGTTGTCTTCGGCAAGTCACTTTACCTATTTCTCAAATTTCCTCATCTGTAATGTGACAGTTACACCCACCTATGATGGTTGTTGGGAGAATAAAATTAGCACAGTGCTAGGCACACAGAAAGCAGACAATATTAGCTGTTTTTCTCATCTAATAGAGAACTACAGAGTGGGGGTGGGCTTTGAGCCTGACTTTTCCATCTATTAGCCACCCTTTGCCAATTCTGGATTCTATAACAGAGGCAGGATCTACTCTCCATTGTGTCTTGGAAGGGAGAAAGAAGAGTTCTCAGAATTTCACATCCAGACCTCCAGAATTAATCTGAGGTGGCAAATAGGTGCTAGACATCTGATAAACCAAACGAAATGTGAGATGACATTAGACTGTGTTGGGGACCAAGGCCCTAAAGGCTCAGGGGGAAAAGTGCCCAACTGATCAGTGACTGCCACTGGCTCCTGATAGGAATAGGCCGCCTGTCCAGTATGTCTGACGACCCTGGGCCGAGCACCCCAGTTCTCTGCCCTCACCAGACAGGGAGTCTGCAGTAGCTGGTGTGTCCAGTTTCATGAAGGCTGCTTCAATAGCTTGGCTGAAGGAATTCTGGAAACTGGGCACAGGAACACGGTCCGAGTTATCACTCTCCCCATCGCTATCCACAGGGGCAGGAGGAACTAGGCTGTTCTCATCTAAAAAATACCAGTGTCAGAATTCTTGAAACAACCCCTTTTACTGAAACGGGCCAAACTGCCCCTTCACCAAATGGCCATCCTCACCTTTCTTTGGAGCTGTTTTGGGCCACACATCTGCTTTTGCTTTTCCGACTCTCAGCATCTACCAAAGTGGGAAAAAAGCAAAAAAGAATTTAAGTGTTTCAACTTCTTTTCCAGACTCCTGCCTTGGCACTAACTGGTTAGAGGGGCACAGAACCAACGATCACTTTTCAAAAGATCTGCAGGTACTTATCGCCTTAACATACTGTTTCAGTCATGTCCTTTCGATCCTGACCAATGGAACTGACAGTGAGACCCACAAGGTGGTAAACCAGAAGCTGTTTTGTTCCTTAGAAAATAAGACAGGTAAAGGACACTGCATAGAAGCAGCAGGAGGTTGTGAATAAGATTCTCAACTGGGAATCCTGACTTTGTGTTACTCCCTGCTCTGCCCTTCTTGGGACCCCCAGAAACATCAACCTGTTGGAATAAGCAGTGTGTACCCTCGAATTTTAAAACAAAACCACCTGAGTTTTGGACTCAAGTTACTTAACGCCATGAAAACGAACTTTATCCTGAAATGGCTCCAGTGACCGACACTACATTTTAGTCTTCCTTTCCCCTGCAAGTACAGTAAAATTGAACAATCCCTCTCTCCCCCATTGGCAACTGACAGTCTTTCTAGGATAAATCCCTGCCCAAGGAATTTTTTTCATCTCACTTGGCCAAGGCCAGCTGTGTAATTGTCGAGGGCCACTATGAGTCCCATCTGCCAATTATGCCATGTGATACAATAAAGCAGGGTAATTTTTACTCCTGGAAATGTATCAAGAGACAAGCCCCACAGAATTCAAGCAGGCACGCCTTGTCCTGAAGTGTCCCAAAGTAAGGAATGCATATTCAAGATGATTTTGGCTGGCAGACACTGATTTTTTTGAATAACCTTTCTTCATCATGTATCATTTTCATGATCTCCCTGGTCCCTGGGAGTCTGGATCCAAACAGTATGCCATCTGAATCATCTTACCCCAAAAGGTCATTAAAATACCTATCACCTATGTTTTATTCTTGCCAAAAATGTTTAACCTGAACCCAATCGTGAGGAAACGATCAGTCAAATCCAAACTGTAAGACAATCTAAAAAAACAACTGGCCTGGATGCTTCAAAAATGTCTGTGCCACAGAGAGGGGGGTTAAAAAAAAGAGGCAAGAGTAACTGTCATGAGTCAAAAGACTAAAGACACCTGACAACTAACTTCAGTGAGTGATCTCTGATTGGCTCTCAATTAAAAACAATAAAGGACACAGAGAGAGAGAATGAGGAGAGAAAAATATAGACTATGTATTATTTCATCAGATGAAATTCTTGTGTATAATGATGTTGTGGTTGTGTAGGAGACGGTCACTCTTTGGCATGTGTCTTTTATGTATTTAGGAGTGAAGTGTCATCCGTGAGGTTTCCAACTTACTTTCAACAGCAGCACCAAAAAAAAAAAAAGGGAGAGAAAGCAAATGTAGCAAAATGTTAATAACTGGTGAATCCAGGTGAAAGATAATGAGTGTTAATTATACTATCTTTCACCTCTTTGAATCTGATGTTTTTCTAAATAAAGTTGAAAGGAAAAAAGCAACGGCAATAAAACCTAGCATAAAACAAAAACTTAGGCATTTAGCATAACTCCTGGGAGCCACTTGCTTGTAACTTCTGAAGCCCAGAAGTTAACTCCCAGGATAGCTCTCAAATTCCAGTGAAACCTGTGAGAGCCAGAACTCGAGGTGACTGCCTTGTTGTTCTGGGTCTCGCAATTTCCTGCCTTTGACAGGGTACAGTCTTACCACTTTATCGTTCATTTCAGTGGAAAATAATATTTTTCTTTCTCTGATAGTTCTCTGCCTTACACAGGCTCTGACTTTTGCAGGTTTTACGTATTTCACTGTTCCCAACTTCAGGACCCTCTTTACTAAAGTTCAGTTCCTGCTTGTTTCTCAGCACAAACTGCCGTTTCTATGTGAGAAAAATCCCCATCAACTGCTCTATAGAACTCTGAAGATAATGACTCCAAAAGGGACTCTTGGCAAGCTGTCCACCCGTCTTCCTCAGCTATCTGAATGCTTCGTGTCTTCCCCAGTCCCCTCCCCAAGAAAGCAGGCTTGGCTAGTTACAGGATAACCAAGACAATCTTTCCCTTCCCGGAGTAGGAGTGGTTTATTGTATGTAACAGATAAATACCACCTCAACCAGATGTCCTAGACGAGTTAAAACTGATGTATCCCCAGACCCTAGAACAGTGCCCGGCACAGACATATCCAGTCATTTGTTAAACAAGTAAAATTCTGATTCACCCTCAATTACTCTTGACCTTTTTCCCGGGTAAGTCTGGGGTCATAACTGAGACTAACACCATGAGCTTCTCTCTTAAGAAAGCCTCCCATGATCCTTAGGGTCAGTGCAACATTAGCCTGCAAGTCTCAGAGCGGGTGTCCATGAACATCACCTGCTCTCAGCCAACTCTCTGCTGCGTTGAACTCCAACTGGCAGTGAATTTTCCCTCATACCCATCAGATGACTCAGCTGTATTAGAATGAGAGACAAGAACCTCTGGATGAGGTTCCAGAAAAAACAAGCAGCAGAGTTCATGTTAAATACCCCTGGGCTACTTCAGAAGCAGAAGATTTACCTGAGCAAAGGATGGGAAGGGAGAGTCTTCTTCCAGACTCCCAACGCAGAATGAGGGACTGCCCTGACTGGCAGTGGGTGACAGAGGGGTCAGCAGAAAGTCTGAAAGGGAACCAGATACCTGATTATATGAGTCAAGTTCCAAAGAGCTAGTGTCCTTTTTACAAAAGAGATGAACTCTGAATCCGGTCTAGATAACTACCAACCCCCACAAAAAGCAACCTTGATCCAACCTTCAACTCTGCCACCTTCTTATAAAGAATGTGGCCTATTAGTGATCATATAAAGAAGGTCAAAGACCCCTTTGAACCTCTGAATCCTGATCCCCCTACAGTGTAGGGAGAAAAAGCTTGTTTATAACAACACTAGAAATCACGGTGGATATCTATTTGCACAGTAAGAAAAACCCTTCCCAGGAAAAGGATGTAAAATTCAATCAGGTCAGCCTTTATGCTCCAGCCAACAGATTTCTATGATCTGGGAGTATTTAGTTAGAATCTAAGACACACCAACACAAAGATGCAAACTTCCTCCCTACTACCCCTAATGATAAGTAATGCTCCTCTCCATTCTTTCTGACTGCGAGGTGAACACTTCCTACACATCAGTCCTGATCACTGCTGGGAAGAAGAGGCTGTTTAGGACTTTATTCCTAGGACCATCCAAGTGATCTGCCTAAATACATTAAGGTCCATACCTCAAATTTCAGGAAAGCTAACACATGTAAACAGTCTTTCTACCACAGGAGGACATCCGCCATACTCCTCCTCAGTTAAGTAGAAGGGCGTCATGGTCACACAGTCCTCAAGAGACCCAGGTTCTAGTCCCAGTCCTGCCGCTATGAGCTGGCTTTCACCTCAGGTTCCCAGTCTGCACAGTGATAGGCATATGATCACAAGGGTCTTGGACATTTTGCTAAAAATGCCAAACAAATCTTAAGTATCAAGAAGTATTGCCAAGATGGATGATGATCAGAAAAGACAGCTCTGAGATTATAGTCTATAACTCTTTAAGTGTTTAATTTCATAACACATTAATACATCCTTTATTAAAAAAAAAAAACAGTAGACAGAAGGCTAAAGGCCCCTTTGAACCACCTCTGGATCCTGATCTCCTTATACCCTCGAGTGGAACTTGGTTACCAGTGTGGAACATACCTATCCCAATATTTTTCTATACATTTAGATATATAAATCCATTTTAAAATGCTTTTGTGGAGTTTTTTTTAAACCCACAAATGGTATCGTGTTTTGTCTCGTTCTACAACTTCCTTTTATCTTAAAAGTCTATCCATTAGTTCAAAAATGGAGTTATTTCATTCTCCAATGGGTGTGATGTATTTCACGGTTTAAATACTATAATCCAGCCATTTATCTACTGGCAGGCTTTGTAGGCTGTTTCCATTTTGTTATGATAAATGATGCTATAATAAGAGACATGTACAAAGATGCTCAAGCATACAGGGGAGTATCTCAAAGGTAAAAACTAGAAATAAAACAGCTGGGTCACAGGAAGATCTAGGTTAGAGCTAGGTTTAACCATCCTTGAGATTTCTGGAAGCTGGCAGAGCATAAAGTAGCTGATGGAAAGGTGAATTAAATGGCAAGAATTGGAGGTACCTCAGGAATATACCAACTACCCAAAGGTAAAGTTATTTGCCTAAAGACCACACCATGCCACAGGGTTGTAAATTCGGACACTAGTGCTTTGCTTAAGGTCTGTGGCTGATGGCTTGACTTCATTCTTCAAATTCCAACTCTTTATTTACCTGAACGGGACCCAGAACTTCTGCTAAGAGGAGAAAGGGAGAGGGACCCCTGGCCCTCGGTGCTGGTGGGACGCAAAGCAGAATCAGAAGAGCCAGTATAGGAATTGAAGGCAGGAAACTGCTGTAGATTCTCTAGGGGAATGTGGACTTCTGGGTCTGCAAATGAAACACAAGACAGGTAGGTCCATTTACAGAACTACTCAGATCTTTGCTGAGGACAATCCCTATGCTTACCCCCAGGGGCCTAGAAAATGCAGACAGAAGTTTGAAAACTCAAATCCGTAATAACTATCATTTTACAACAGGTCTTTAATATAAAAACCTTGTTCTAAATATTCATAATTGAAGGTGGGTAATAAACATGAGGATTAATTACACCGTTCCCTCTACTTGTGTTTGGATATTCCCATAATAAAAAGTTAAAAAAAAAAATCTTTGTTCCTGAAACATCAGATTCCCAAAGTTTGGACATGTGCCAAACAGCTTCACAGTGTAGGGTCCTAGGGATGTACCTACTCCAGTCTGTGAAGTACAATTTTATAATGTTTAGAAAAAAGCATTACGCTTTACCACATGGAGTCAAAATAGCAAACGCCTTTCCCTAGCCAGTGACTGATTCCAAGCAAGCAACATGCTTGTTCTTTGGTGGATAACTAGGCCCTCATATCTCACTTATTCCCTGGGTTCATTGAAGCTTTTGTGGGAGAACCACATGAAAAGATTCTGTGCTTACTGGTACACAGAGCTCTTAAATCTAACTCCTTGCATATACTTCTAGTTTGTCAAGGTTTCTACTAAATCAAACACTCTTGGTAGAGCATGTTGAATAATTATCCCGAATTCTCAGATTTCCAATTCAATTCCCTTCCTCAGAACAGGCTTTTTACCCACCACTCCAAGGCTGAATTTAATCTTACTATATGCTATGCACTTGACCTGTATTAACTTATTTAATTCTAACAGCAAGCCTACAAAGGCAATACTCTCATGATTCACATCTGGGAGCTGAAAAAAGCAAGGGGTAGAGCTGAGATACTGACCCAAGCAATCTGGCTCCGGGGCCCAGGCACTAAGCCTCTATACAATGATGCATAGCAGTACTAGTCCAAGGTAAGGGTTCCTGAACTTACACTTGCCCTGTTTCTTGTTCTCCTCCATCTCAATCCTGCGCTCTCGGCGGCGTTCTTCCCGAGCCTTCTTCTGGCGCTGACGCTTCCTCTTCTCAATGTCATCTGTGGGTTGGTCAGGTTGTGAGGAGATGGACCCAAGACAACCTGGGCACTAACACCTCCCAGTTAACTCACAGCCAAGCCCACGCCCAGTGGGCCCAGCTGGACAGGCTGAATGGATACAGTGTAGCAGGAAGTTCTGAGACTAATGACCTAGTGCCTTAAGTTTCCTCCCACATTGGGTTTCTAGCCACAAGAATCCCCGAAACCCTACTATGAAGAGAAAGCAAGGGCATCCTCACCTGAGAACATCTCTAGAGTTTCCTTGGAGACAACAGGAGGCTGCAGAGCCAGTTCACAGATGCTGAACTCACAGGTGAGTGGCAAGTGAGAGAGATACCTATGACGCTGCCGAACATCCTGGGTGGAAAAGGGACCAACACACAAATGAGACCAGGCCTAATGAGAGACGGTTCCAACCCAGACATCCAGCAGTACACAGAGTCAGCAAAGGGGCTCTAAACAGTAGTACTCAAGTTACCACCTTTTTGAAAATACAAACAGAAATTGTTAAATATCCTACAAGAAGACAGAATAAGCAAACAAAACCACATTTTTGGTTTGTGCTGCAAATGAGTGGTCTGAGGCTTTTAACGAATGATCTAAAACTAATTAGTTGTTTCTGGTTTTCTGGGGTCCACGGTTGAGGGAGGAGAACAGGAAATGTAAGAGTATTTGCTGGCAAAATATCTGTGAACCATGAACAGTACTAATGATAACTGGGAAGGAAGATAAAGCCAATTTCCCTATTGAATGAAGACTGACCTAAAACAGTAAAAACGAAGCCATCCGTTTGATTTTCTCTTCTTTTTCCTGCTTTTTTTAAGTTGTGCTTTAAGTGAAAGTCTACAATTCAAGTTAGTTTCTCATACAAAACTTTATACACACATTGTTATGTGACCCTAGCTACTCTCCCTATACTGTGACAGCACACTTCTCCTTTCTACCCCGGATTTCTGTGTCCATTCACCAGCTCCTGTCCCTTTCTGCCTTCTCATCTCGCCTCCAGACAGAAGCTGCCCATTTAGTCTCATGTAATCTACTTGAGCTAGAAGCACACTCTTCACAATTATCATTTTATGTCTTATAGTCCAGTCTATTCTTTGTCTAAAGAGTTGACTTGGGGAATGGTTTTAGTTTTGGGCTAACACAAAGTCTGGGGGCATGTCTTCCAAGGTCCCTCTAGTCTCAGTCAGACCATTAAGTCTGGCATTTTTACTAGAATTTGAGTTCTATACCCCACTTTTCTCCCACTCTGTCAGGGACTCAGGGACTCTGCTGTGTTCCCTGTCAGGGCAGTCACTGGTGGCAGCTGGGCACCATCCAGTTCTTCTGGTCTCAGGCTGATGAAGTCTCTGGTTTATGTGGCCCTTTCTGTC